TGGAGGAAGTCCATTCACTTGTAACGCAACAGAATACAGAGCAGCCCGAAATCCACTTTCAAAGTCTTGGAGAACAGAATGTTTTGCTTCTTATCAGGTCAGAAAAGGATTAAACAAAGTTAGATTCCTCAAATATTTTGTTCTTTTTGTAGAAAACCCCCCACAGCCTGATAAATATTGAAATAATGAAGTTTCCAGTCCTCCCTAGTGACATTGCAGTTTTGGAAAGACCGCACGTAACCAAACAGTTTGATTCAGACAGAATTCTGAGATTGCGCAGAGAATAAGTTGAGGATGAAGTAAAAAACCCCTCTATCCTTATGGACTACCTTAAAAATAAATCAGCTGTATGGGTTCCTAGCTTTCGCTCTTTTCTAGCTGAGGTGATGGCCAGCAGAAAAGCAATCTTCACAGACATGTGGATCAAAGAGTGTGAGGAATTTAAACAGAGGCCTTATTAATGCTGATAGGAGCAGGCTGAGATCCTGTGATGGATTAAATAAATTCATGGAGGTTAGGTCCATCAACATTTATTAGCCAGGTTGGGTAGGAATGGTGTCCCTAGCCTGTTTATCAGGGCATGGAAATGGATGACAGGAGAAGAATCACTTGATTATCTGTTGTTTTTACTCCCTTCAGGGTATTTGGCATTGGACACTGTTGGAAGACAGGATACTGAGCTAGATGGACCTTTGGGTTGACCCAATATGGCCACTCTTATGTTCTTGTGGAGTAGGGCTTTCATGAGAAAAATAGTCATCCCAGGATGGGTGAAAAAAAGTGGCTGTCAATCGGAGAATGATAGGCACTGGCAACTGCTTTGTGTACTTACAAGTCTTTAAAGAAAGAAGATATTTCCAAGATGGTTTGATCTCTCAATCCCCAGGGGTTACCTGGCAACGCTGACACCATTTTCTACTTAGCTAAGTAGCACTTTTTAGTGGACTCCTTTCTTCTAGTGTTAAGGATGGCCTGAAGTGCTTTCAAACATGTCCTTTCTAGGTTCAGTGTCCATCCACGCTATCAGAGGAGGAAAGCCTAACTGGGGTGCCTGACCTTGACACCTCTCCTTAGTCACCAGGTCCAGGAATGATTAGATACTGATACAGGCAGTCACCGGGTTACGTACAAGATAGGGACTGTAGGTTTGTTCTTAAGTTGCATCTGTATGTAAGTCGGAACTGGCGTCCAGATTCAGCGGCTGCTGAAACTGACCGCCAGTTCTGACTTACATACAGAATCAAGGGGTGCCTGACCTTGACACCTCTCCTTAGTCACCAGGTCCAGGAATGATTAGATACTGATACAGGCAGTCACCGGGTTACGTACAAGATAGGGACTGTAGGTTTGTTCTTAAGTTGCATCTGTATGTAAGTCGGAACTGGCGTCCAGATTCAGCGGCTGCTGAAACTGACCGCCAGTTCTGACTTACATACAGAATCAACTTAAGAACCCCAGGCGTCCCCAAGTCAGCTGCTGCTGAAACTGATCAGCAGCTGATTCCAGGAAGCCCGGGGCAGAGCAACTCTGCCTGGGCCGGAGCAGCGAGAAAGCCCCGTTCGTAAGTGCGGATCCGACGTAAGTCGGATCCGCGTAAGTCGGGGACTGCCTGTATATGCAATAACATGTCACTTACTTTTGAGATATTTTCTGCAATCTGGTAGCTAAATATTTATTTAGTTTTAATTTATTTATTCTTCTTTGAAAACCATGTTCTTTCGAAATCAGTTCACCTTATCGATAATTTTAAGTTCTGCTAGTGATTAAATTTGTATCTAGTTAAAGGGATGGGGACCTATGGCCCAGCATGCGGCATGTCTTGATCCGGCCCACGAGGCTTGGGCTCTCTCTTCCCACAACAGAGCAAGCCAGAGCTGGCTTGTCCTGCTATGGAGTCCGGAATCCCAAGCGTAACAGGCTGGATCAATGCAAGTTACAGGCTGCATCGGGCCCACGGGCGGACCCCGCTGCCCGTGCGGCTTTGCTCCTTTGCCCCGGAGCAAAGCCGCACAGGCGGCGGGGTCCCCCGCCTCTGCGGCTTTGCTCAGGTCTCCCTGCTGTGCTGAGGGAGACTCCCCCCCAGCACAGCAGGGAGACAGGAGCAGCTTTTCTCGCCCCGGAGGACATGGTGGCGGGACCGCTGCGCTCTGGGAGGTCCCACCACCCACGAGCCCCGGGGCAAGAAAAGCCCCGTTCGTAAGTGCGGATCCGACTGCCTGTATATGGCACGCTGACCTCTGAAAGAGGTTGGCAAACAAGAAGAGACTGGGCAATCAGGAGGACTATTGCTCCATCTTGCTTGATCTTCCTGAGAGCCTGAGATAAAAGTGGAATGGGCAGAAATGTTAGCTTTCTACACCAACAAAAAAGTAGTGCATCTCTCTGGAGTCCAGATCTGAATTCCCTCCAAATCATCAGATTGTGTCTTAACACAATAGCAAGTGCACAACCAGATCCCAAGACCAAGTCCCCTCTCACTGTTGTTGAAATATTCTCTACACTATGGAATCACATTGCTTCCATTTGCAGTCCTTGGGGAAGTGTTTGCTGCAACCGGCAGCTAATGTATGTCTGTCCTTGGAAAGTGCACTGTGCACAGCAGGGACAGCCAATAAGTTTTAATGGGAGGGGGCGAGCAACTACAAGATTTTGGAAATTGGTCAAGAGCCACACTTCTGTTGGGTGCAGAAAGGAGCTTGTGGTAGCAGATTGGGGTGCAGGAGATGGTGTGGAATCTTGGAGGGAGTAGGGGTAAAGGAGAGGATTCTGACCTGGAGGAGGGGTACAGTAGGGAGTACAGGATCTGGAAAGGGGTGGTGATCTCCTGCAGGAGTTTGTGTGTGTGGGGGGGGAAGGAGGGGGTATGGGAGAGAGTTGTGACCTGGTAGAAGGGTGAGAAGAGGGTTTGGGTGGTGAACTAGGGCAGGAGAAAATGGGGTGTAGTGTCTGGGAGGGGATATGGGTACAGAAGAGGATTCTGGCTTAGGTGAGAGGTGTAGGAGGGAGTTATGACCCCGGAGAAGGGGGAAAGGAGTACCGAGGATTTAGGTGGTGGCCTAGAGCAAGTAGTTGAGGGCAAACAACAGGTGGGGTGCCAGAGGCAGGTTGTGGGTGGCACATGCGTAACTAGGAATTTCCC